TTTTCATAGTTGCTGAATTTTGAAACTCAGATTGATCACTTTGAACATCACCTCCTACTTTGCAAATAATTTGTACATTATCACGCTCTTCTTGTGATAAACTCATTATGCAGTTACTTTCATAATCCAAAAGATATTCAAACACTCTAAAAACTAAATGCTTTATCATATGGAAAAGATTACATTTTACTTTGGTTTCAGAATATTCAACCTGTTCTGGATATGTCAATTTTTTGTATTGCTTCAACTTGGTTAAACCTGGAGGAACAAGATGACGATTATGAGCCACTATATTTTTAAATTCAGTCCATGGTCTATCTGTAAGTTTCAAATTACAAAGAGCTTGCAATGACAAATTTGAACCATATAAAATAGCCCTACCATCAATAGAAGAATTAGATTTAAACCTTTTGACAGCATGTTGCAGTTCTTCCACCTCTTGTTCTCTAAGACTATCTGTTCTTTTACGCTTCATCCTGTTTGTAAGCTTATTAAAAGACTTTCTAGGTTTTGGTGTACAAGATGTGTTGACTGCAGATGATTTAGGTACTCTACATGGTACACTATAAATAATAAAAAAATACATTGAAACATATATACATTTTGAAGGTTTTGTTAAACATAGTCAAACAATATGTATGTGTGTGTGCAAAATAAAAAGAGGGAGATTTATCTATTTATATATTTATCTATGCAAACCTGTTTACATTGGATCCATGAGTACGAAGCAGTAATTCCCCTTCTTTTATTTTACGCTCACCCTGCTTGATGAGTTGATTACCTTGTTTAATCAGATTTTCACCTTTTCTAATTAATAGCAGTTCTTCCTCATGTGTTCTAATCTCTTTTTTAGAATCTTTTTCTAATCTACACGCACAAGTATAATATATATATATATATATATATATATATATATATATATATATATATATATATATATATATATATATATATATATATATATATATATATATATATATATATATATATATATATATATATATCTGATTTTAATTTAATAAAAAAATTTAATAAGTGTGGAAAAAGAAAAAAGTTCTTTCTTACTAAATATAAACATTTTTTGGATCAAAATCAACAATGCAAATATCTCTTGTGAGTATAATATATTCTATATTGATTTATTATAAATAAGTAATAAATTTTGCATTATAGTATATATATATATATATATATATATATATATATATATATATATATATATATATATATATATATATATATATATATATATATATATATATATATATATATATATATATATATATATATATATATATATATATATATATATATATATATATATACTATAATGCAATGTTTATCACTTATTTATAATAAATCAATATAGAATATATTATACTCGCAAGAGATATTTGCATTGTTGATTTTGATCCAAAAAATGTTTATATTTAGTAAGAAAGAACTTTTTTCTTTTTCCACACTCATTAAATTTTTTTATTAAATTAAAAGCCAGACTTTTGAAAATGTTGAATCAGCAATCAGCATAAAGTGATAAAAACTTGGACTGCAAAAATTTAGCACATTCAGATACATTTTTACTCATGAAAATATGCCTTGCAGGAAAATTATCAGCCAGAAGTTTGCTAAGATTAAAAGTAACAACTTTTAAAAAATTCTAAATCACGATGAGAGCCAAACTCAGGTTATAACTTAAAGACTAGAAAAGAATGTTCCGCCCGCATCCAGTTTCTTCTTGACAAAAACTAACTAACCGGTTTTTAATAAATCCACCTCTTTTGAATTGATTTTATAGCATGTTACTACAGAGGTAGCCAGAATATTATTTCACTTATAAAAAGTCAATTTGTTTGAGAAAAGTTTAAAAAAATAAAAAACTGGCTACCTCTGTAGTAACATGGTCTAATCGATCAATCTTTACAGACACCCGAAAACAATGATCCAAACATTTTTTTTCTTTTCTTGGTTTTTAATTTACGAAATGTATCATTTATTAGAAAATGTGCAAAAAAAATGAAGAAATTCGAAAATTATCTTATGTAATTTAAAGATTTAGTGAAAACATGGGTTTTTTTACCCCTGAAAATCCCGCACCTAAAAAGGCAAATTTAAAAAAATTAAAAAAAAACTTTTTTTTATTAACTAATACTAACCTGTTTCAGTTAAAAAATATTTAAAATATTAAAATTGAATTTTTTTCTTCTGAAAAGTAAGTAAAATCCTATTTCCGCTTCGCGACGCATAGTGCGTCGTTTTGCCGTTCTTTTGCAACCAAACGATCCTAATTTTAATCCACTGCCATGTGCCGCATGTCTACTTGACCCCACATGTGCAATAGCTCTTTTAGGTAATGAGCATACACAAATCAGAGAGTGTGCAAAGAAATACATTTTGTCAGAGGCTAAAAAATCGGTGCAACATGATTTACTTTTAGCAAGTGCATCTACTCTTTCTGTTGAGATTGTTCCAGAAATAAATGGATTAACAAAATGGAAATTTTTGGCGGCAAAACAGCGAGTAAAAAAAATAAAGCTTATTCCAGGTAATGAAGCACAAAATGAACTCAACAAATATTTTATTGAAATAAGGAACAGCTCTATGTGCCAAAATGCTTTAAATTTCTGGAAGATGAGACGTGCTGTTTACCCACATATTGCACCATTAGCTGAAGACCTCATTGCAGCTCCTGCAACTCAAGCATATGTTGAAAGAATTTTTTCAATCTGTGGCTTGCTCACAAATGGACGGAGAAATCGAATGTCAGCGTCATTGGAAATGCGAGTTTTCTTAAAACTAAGTTCTCATCTAGTCTAGATGATAATCATATAATCACTAGGCCCTTTATTTGTAAAATATATGAGTAATTATTAAAGTCTATACAATAATTATTCATTAGTTTTTATTGTTACCAAATTTGAGGAGTTTTTTTTATACCTAATAATTGAAATTTTTTTAAGTTTTAGAGCAATAAGGACAGGTTGTTGTTGTGTTTTTTATTAAGGGCGGTGGGCGGGGCTCTAAACTTCTAGCCATGGGACTGGGTGTATTACATTTAATTAAGTTCTCATTTTTTTGTTTGTTTATAGAACTAAGACTTACTTCTTTTAATTATATATGCCTATATTATTTATAAATTATACTAAATTATAATTAGATGAAATAAAAAATTTATACGACAAACGAAAATTGAACTAAATAAAAACTAAAACTAAAATTATTTTAAGATGAACTGAATAAAAACTAGAACTAAAATTATTCACTTAACTGAATAAGAACTAGAACTAAAAACTCTGCCTCTAAACTGAATAAAAACTAAAACTAAAATTATTTTCCAAACAAAAATATCACTGGTGCGCTGGATAACAGTGGAAAGTCTAGAATTTTCTCGCAAAGCTTTTTTATATCTGTAATCATAATCTTGATTCGCCGTTTCTCGCTAATGAACATAAAAGTGAAGTTTCCAAGAATTTGACGGTTTGTCGGCATCCGCGTGAGATTGGTTAGTTTTTCAACAGATGGAGTTTTTGGATTTCTTTTATTTTTGGAAGAATAGGGTAGATTTTTTATCCAGATACACCTGTTTGATTCTATACTATTTCTGAAATATCTATAAGACATTTTATTGAAGTGACAAAATGTTTTTTTCTGGATGACTTGCAATCTTGCACTGAAAACGAGGTAATTAATCTACAATTCCAAAATGTTATAAAATACTCCAAAATACATATATATATATATATATATATATATATATATATATATATATATATATATATATATATATATATATATATATATATATATATATATATATATATATATATATATATATTTTATGTTTGTACCTGAAACAGAAAATAAAATATATCAATAATAAAATAATTATTTTTACTAAACTTGCCCCATGTTGGAGCGAGTTTCCACTGTTTAAGCTGGGATCAATAAAAATGAAAAAATTTTTTCTTATAAAGCTGGGATCAATAAAAATGAAATTTTTTTTTCTTATAAACAAATAGAAACAGACGGTTAACATAAATGTGCATAAAAGCACCCTAGAACATTACATAAAAAGTCAATGTGAAATTTAAATTGTAAAACAAATGAGGTATTTTAATAAGCCGGAAAACATTTTAAAAACGTCACGTGATGGATAAATATAATTGATCAATTAATAACGGAATAATGGCTTTTTTTTTTGTTTTTTTGAGAGAATAGATAAAATATATACAGATCAGTGATTGAGAGGTTATAGTTATGTAAACAAATAGGCTCAAAGTAATCGAAAAGCAATTCTTATCCATCACGTGATCGTTGATCATTATCATGGTATTGTTTATTCGTGAAAACACCTCATTAAGCGATATAGGAAAAAATAAAAATTGAAAGGTAGGGGAACTTTTTTCAACTTAAAAAAAAATTAACGTTGCTACTGTCATCTGCATATAACTGTTAATCGAATGTGATGGGTTTCAGTTTCATTACAAAAAAAATGAAAATAGTTATTACGTTAGTGTGTATATATATATACCCAGCAAACATGTCAGCGTTGAATCAACGTTGAAAACCGGTCGCAATAGGTGTTGCGGAAACGTTGACAAAGAAATTAATTTTGCAAAGATATGTCATGTTTTTAAAGAAACGTTGATTAAATGTTGTAGCGTAACGTTGAAAAAACGTTACTAAAAGACGTTACAAAAATGTCTCAACTAAACGTTGAAAAAGCGTTACTTAAAAAGCGTTGCATAGGCGCTGCAACTTAACGTTGAAGAAACGCTTCTTGAAAAGCGTTACTTTAACGTTGTTGAAGCAGTCAATTTTGAAAGGATTTGTATCGTTGGTAGTAAAACGTCGATTTAACGTGACTAAAAGACGTCGAGTAAAGGTTGAAATATAACATTAAATCAACGCTCAAATGCGCTGGAAAAAATAACGCAAAATATTATTAAACGTGATTAAATTTAGTTATAATGTATATTGAATTTGCAAATAAAACAAAATTGTATGTTGAACTCTGCACTTGCAATATTTTGATTTTTAAAACAAATAGTAATATACAGAAAATATACACTCGAATAAGTCGATGTTTAATACAAATAGTAATATACAATAAAAAACATAAAAAATATACAATTTATTTATATAAAATTTACAATTATAGATAAAAATATAAACATCTTTTTGAAGATTTGCGTGTGTGAGTGAATTCACAGGATTCACGTGTGTGAGTAAAACTTATGTGTGTGAGTGGATTTACAGGATATCGTATCGATAAGCCAGGATATCATTGAGATACAGAATCTAAATCAAAAAATAAAACTTGTATCATTATCAATCTAATAGCAGATGTTTAAAAATTGTTATTGAATTAGTATGATTATTATTATATTTAAAAAGTAAAAATAAATATATATATATATATATATATATATATATATATATATATATATATATATATATATATATATATATATATATATATATATATATATATATATTGTGATTGTCGTAATTGCATAAAATAAGAAATTGTTTTTAAAAACAACACGACGTTTTTTATTCTTGAAATGTTTTGTAGTAAACAACTGGGGTTGATATTTGACTAGGGTCGGAGCCGGAATTGATAAAATATAGCCGGGGCCAAGGCCGGGTTTGAGACCAGGCTGCATAAACATTTATACATCCTAAAGTATATTTTTTATAATTAAAAGTCATGCTATATTTTGAATATATATGCATATATAAACATCATTGTGATCAACATGATCATCATAGTCATCATAACCATCACCATCATTACCATCATCATAATCCTTATTATCATCAGCAGCATAAAAGCTGAAAGCTTGACAATGATAATAAAAATTATGTTGATGCTGTTGATCGTCATCATGATAATCATCATCATTTTTATTATGGCACTATGTAAGGCACACTCTTCAAACTTTCTTACTTCTACCAAAACCACTTTATACTGAAGCTGCTACCACTCTACATGTTAATACCTGAATTACTTTAACTTTTTTTAAAAAAAAAGGTTGTTTGATACAACGTTTTTTCTAATCTGTCTAAGATTTTGCCTACTTTTTATATCTTGTTAGAGTCACACCACACATCCATCTGATCATTTTCTCTTTCAGCAAATACTACACTATATAAACACTAAAGTTTATACAACAATGAAAGGATATTGTATGCCAGCATCTAAACAAATAGCAATCAAATATGCTTATATCCATAATAAGTGTGCAAAAAGTGCATCTTGAAAGCTTATATTGCTTCTGGAATAAAAGTTAAAAGCTTTTATTACTTCTCTTCAGTTTTGAATCAAGTCTTATTCTACTCTACATCTTTCAACATTAACTACGTTTTTCAGCTTTTGTATAAGAAGATCTCTCTTAAGAAAAAATTGTCCTTTTTATTATTGAGATAAGCTAATAAATAAATAAAGTCTTGTCTGATGTAAATCTCTGTTATTCCCAGTTTACTAAACCTTGTATCTCATCTTAGATGTTAATTCTAGAGACTTTTGGTTAGTTTTCAACAGTGTTATTAACTAAAGTGTCTTATTGATTTAAATTCTGAACTTAAAGTCCACAAATTTGTTTAGACAACAAAATTTAATTATTTACTACAAAAAAATATTGCAATATTGTTGGTATTCTATATTGACAAATAAAAAACCTATAAATATTATAATATATTATATAATAATACTAACAATAATAAATATATATATATATATATATATATACATATATATATATATATATATATATATATATATATATATATATATATATATATATATATATATATATATATATATATATATATATATATATATATATATATATATATATATATATATATATATATATATATATATGTACATATATATATATATATATATATATATATATATATATATATATATATATATATATATATATATATATATATATATGTACATATATATATATATATATATATATATATATATATATATATATATATATATATATATATACATATATATATATATATATATATACATATATATATTATATATATATATATATATATATAAATTTTGCAAATAAAAATAGCCATGTATCCATACATTGATTAGGTAAATAAAATTTACTTCAATAGGTGTAACTATATATCATCAATTTAAATCATATTATGTACTTTGTTAATCAGATGCAAACCAGTTAAAACCAAATCATTCCTCAATCTTTGGTCCCCCAGAACTTTAAAAAATAAATTTATACTGGTAATCAAACTACCACAAGTCAAAAAATTTAGACAGTATTATTGAAATCAGCTTTGACCAATAGTTAATACTAGATTTTTTTTTCTTCTTTACTATATAAAAAACAAAGAAAAGTTAAAGCCAAAGAAAAACAAAATTATTCACAAACATAATTACTTACATTCTTCTTCGGAGTCCTCTTTAGTCGTGAAATTAAATCCTGCACATACTTCTTTATCTATTTGTAATTATTTAGTAAAACAAATATAAATAAAATAATGTAAAAGCAAAAAAAGTAAAAAAAGTGTAAACAGATTACGATATATATCTAGGCAGTAATAATACCATAACCAGATTCAAAATATTACTTATTCTAAAATAAAAATAAAATAATTTATTTGATATAATACTTCACCATTAAAATAAAACTATAATAGTTTTTTTATTCATAAAAAACTGTTAAAATAGCAATAATTACTGTAAAATATAATGACACCAGTTACTTTAACTCTTTTAAGTCTAAGTTTGTTGCAGGAATCAATGAATGAAAAATTATTATAGCTAGCTTTCATTGCATGAACACAAGTTGACCAAAATCACCATCCATCTTTTTTCGAACAAGATGGAACAACATATATATATATATAATATATATATATATATATATATATATATATATATATATATATATATATATATATATATATATATATATATATATATATATATATATATATATATATATATATATATATATATATATATATATACTAATATATAGTTTTTATGTGTATACACATAGCTGTCATGTTTACAAGGAAGATTTAGAAAAAATTTTATACCACTGAATATTTGTCCACTAAAATACCTCTATTGACTAAAAATTTTTTTAATGATTTATTACTCTGACAACTAACAATGTTAACTTAAAAATGTCCTAATTTGGCCTCTGACTGAGCTGAATCTTATTCTGAATAGATAAACTTTTATATATTTATGTTTGTGTTAAGCAATTTTTAACAATCTTTAATCATTTTTCTTAACTTACAAAATAATAACTATTTCAAAAGTTAGAAGCTTGGTGTATTTAAAGTTACAAATGAGGAAAAGAAAGTTTTTAAATTATTTTTAAATGCAGATTGGAGATAAATTTCTTATCAAAATTCAGAAAACTCCTGCTAAATGGAAGAGTCTTCATAGGTCTGTATTCAGATAAAACTAGTATACAAACTCTTATGTATATATATATATATATATATATATATATATATATATATATATATATATATATATATATATATATATATATATATATATATATATATATATATATTTATATATATGTATATATATATATACAGTAAATTTACGGTTAATCGACCTGGCACTTATTTAAATTTTCTATATATATATATATATATATATATATATATATATATATATATATATATATATATATATATATATATATATATATATATATATATATATATATATATATATATATATATATATATATATATAGATATATATATATATATAAATATATATATATATATATATATATATATATATAAAATATATATATATATATATATATATATATATATATATATATATATATATATATTATATATATATATATATATATATATATATACAGTAAATTTACGGTTATTCGAACTGGCACTTATTTAAGTTTTCTATATATATATGTATGTATGTAATATATATATATATATATATACACATATATATATATATATATATATATATATATATATATATATATATATATATATATATATATATATATTATATATATATATATATATATATATATATATATATATATATATGTATTTATATATATATCTATACATATATATATATATATATATATATATATATATATATATATATATATATATATATATATATATATATATATATATATATATATATATATATATATATAAATATATATAAATTTTGCAACTAAAAATAGATTAATTAACTAAATATATATATATATATATATATATATATATATATATATATATATATATATATATATATATATATATATATATATATATATATATATATATATAAAATATATATATATATATATATATATATATATATATATATATATATATATATATATATATATATAACTAAATATAAATTTTGCAACTAAAAATACATTAATTAACTAAATAAAACTTACTTCAATAGGTGTAACTATAAATCATTAATTTAAATTATATTATGTACTTCGTTCGTAAGATGCAAACAAGTTAAAACCAAATCATTCCTCGATCTTTGATCCACCAGAATTTTACTAAAAAAATTTATACTGGTAATCAAACTACCACAAGTCAAAAAATGTAGACAGTGTTATTGAAATCAGTTTTGACCAATAGTTAATAATAATTTTTATTTATTTTTTACCATATAAAAAACAAAGAAAAGTTAAATCCGAAGAGAAACAAAATTCTTCACAAACATAATTACTTACATTCTTCTTCGAAGTCCTTTTTAGTTGTGAAATTAAATCCTGCATATACTTCGTTATATGTTAGTAATTATTTAGTAAATTAAATATAAATAAAATTATGTAAAAACAAAAAAGTAGAATAAGTGTAAACAGATTACAATATATATCTAGGCAGTAATAATACCATAACCAGATTCAAAATATTACTTTTTCGGAAATAAAAATAAAATAGTTTATTTGATATAATACTTCACCGTTAAAATAAAGCTATAATAGTTTTTTTATTTATATAAAACAATTAAAATAGCAGTAATTACTTTAAAATTTAATGATCTCTAGTCACTTTAACTCATTTAAGTCTAAGTTTGTTGCAAGAGTCAATGATTGAAAAAATACTATAGGTAGCTTTTATTGCATGAACACAAGTTGCCCAAAATAACCATCAATCTTTTTTGGAACAAGATGGAACAACTGCCTCTGCTTCAAACCTAATGTATATGTAAATTATGTATATATAAATCTTTATATATACATTATTTACACACACACACACACACACATATATATATATATATATATATATATATATATATATATATAATATATATATATATATATATATATATATATATATATATATATATATATATATATATATATATATATATATATATGAATATATTGTTTTTATGTGTATACACATCAATGTCATGTTTTGAAAATGTTTACAAGGAAAACTTGGAAAAAATTTTATACCACTGGATATTTGTCCACTAAAATACCTCTATTGAATAAAAAAGTTTTTTAATGATTTATTACTCTGACAACTAACTTAAAAATGTTTAAATTTGGCCACTGACTGAGCTAAAATTAATTCTGTATAGATATACTTTTATATATTTATGTTTGTGTTAAGCAACTTTTAACAATCTTTAACTAGTTTTCTTAACTTATAAAACGGAAACTATTTAAAACTTAAAAGCTTGGTGTATTTTAAGATACTAATAAGGAAAAGAAAGTTTTTAAATTATTTTCAAATGCAGATTGGAGATAAATATTTTTTCAAAATTTAGAAAACTCCTGCCAAATGGGAGAGACTTCATAGGTCTATATTCAGATACTTAATAAAACTAGTATACAAACTCTTAATAAAGTAATAAATAAATGTTAAATTATATAAATATTAAATTCCTCATGAAATATTAAACTTTTAAATATTGATAATAATTCTTTTATAAAATTTCCAAACCATCATACCATCTTTTTATATTATACAACTTTTATATTTTTCAATATAACATTATACAACTTTTATATTTTTTAATAAAAATGACTAGACATGACAATATTTTATAATTAAAAAAAAAAAACATGTATTTATTATACACACAATGTGCCTCTCTTACAAACATATATATATATATATATATATATATATATATATATATATATATATATATATATATATATATATATATATAGATATATATATATATATATATATATATATCAGGCCTTGCGATGAATAAGAACTGCACGACGCATAAGCACGACGTGATTTTTGACGTCATTAAATTCTTTTTATTTGCTTCTCATATTTATCGACATTAACTGCACCAATTTATTTAATTACGGCAAAACTACTTTAAATCGTTTATGTAGAAATGTTATTATTTAAAAATGTTTTGGAATGTTTTGTTTGTTAAAATGTAAAAACATTTGTTTATTTTCTCGACGTTTGTCACGTTTTGTCTATACTAAACGAATAAAAAACATTATAACTTAAATTTAAAAAAGATTATAAAATATGCTAATATTTGATTTTTTTTTTCTTAAATATGTAATTTAAAGTTTTTCAAATAAAAATTTTTTCTTTTTAAAAAGTCAGCGAGTAATAAACTGGAAATTTTAATATTGTACGATTAAAAACTGTGCAATAGCTAATATTTTTACAAGCGATTTTATATAATATTTATTTATTTGTTTTTATTTATTTTCATAAAGCGGTTGATAAGCACAATCACTCGTATTAATAAAAAACTTAAACGAACGTTTTGAATAGATTTTAAATGTTAACAAGGAATTTTATTTCTAGTAAAATAAAATAAAATGTTAGAATAAAAATCTTATAGGTATAAAAGAAATATTTCAGCGAAAAAATTATTCTTAAAAATTATTCTTAAAAATAATTCGAAAAACTATTGACGTTCTATTTTTCAGCAGCTGTTCTTGAGCACGCTTCGATGAGTTTCGGTAACTTTTAACATAAAAGCGATCGTTATTATTTAAGTAATTTTTTTGAGTTACTTTTTACAAAAAATTTAATAACTGTACTTTTTTATTGAATCAAGTAGAATACGTTTTAATATTAATCTTTTTTTTTTTTTTATTTGCCCTCACTAATTTTTAAAATGTTTCCTCGAAATCACTCTTAAATACTTTAAATACGTCTAATAGTTAATAAATATTTTTAAATCTATGGAATAATTTTAAAACCTATCAAACCTCTGTAAAATAATTATTTAAGTTTAAAATATAAAACTAAAAAAAAGTATTTTTGTTCAATTTTATCAACAACGTTGCTATTGCTGAATAATTTTATTAAAATGTTAGCTTAAAAGATTTAAACTTTTTTTTTAATTTTTGAATTTTTTCTACTTGTAAATAATGAGCATATTTAATTTTTTTAAATTCAAACTTTTATTTCAACTGCGTGCGGTTTTTAAAATACTTTATTAAATGTTAAAATAATCGTAAATTACTTCATTAAAATTCCGCTCAAAAATATCTTTAAATATACTCAAACAAAAAATTTTTTGCTCGACGCAAATAGCCCTAGCTACACGCAAAATCGCCCTTGGACGACGTAAAATTCACATCGCCCGACGCTTTATCGCAAGGCCTGTATATATATATATATATATATATATATATATATATATATATATATATATATATATATATATATATATATATATATATATATATATATATATACATATATATATATATTTATATATATATATATATATATATATATATATATATATATGTATATATATATATATATATATATATATATATATATATTATATATGTATATATATTCATATATATATATTTAAATATATATATATATATATATATATATATATATATATATATATATATATATACATATATATATATATATTTATATATATATATATATATATTTATATATATATATATATATATATATATATATATTTATATATATATATAGAGGTACGCGGACTGATTTTTTTAAATTATTTAAATACAAGAATATTATATATATATGTATATATATATATATATATATATATATATATATATATATATATATATATATATATATATATATATATATACAGCGCTCAAAATAGTTTTTCAAAACTTGCCGATCAAATGTAATTTTTTGACAAAAACAGCTTATTTTCCCTTGAATTTTTCTAAATTTCCCTAAAAATAGCCGATCATTGATCGTTGATCGGCTGTTATTTCGAGCGCTGTATATATATATATATATATATATATACGTACGCGGACTGATTTTTTTTAATTAATTAAATACTAGAATATTATATATCATTAGAAAGCCCTCTAATACAGTATTTTAATGCTAAAAAAATTATGAAAATTGGACAATTCCATAAAAAGTTATGGCGTTTTTAGTAGCCAATTTTCGATATATGGATTTATTGAAGAAACTGGTGCCAAAATTATTTTTTTTCCCACAAAAATTGTTATAACTTTGTCAAATCTTATCCAAATGTCTATACCTTGGCATCAAAAGATAGATGTAAAAGTAGGCTACAAGTTCATATAACTTTTTAACACCCTCGTAGTGAAATGCTACATTGTTATAAATGTTTGAACCTAAAAAACAATGATTTTATTTTGAATGAAAAATTTTAAATTAAATTTTCTTACTTTACAGCATATACAAGTGGTGTATAAGTTGACATAAGGGACGGGACTTGTACCATGCCAAACGCCCCTCTTCCTGCCCAGTCGTATCCAACCGAAAAAAAAATTTTTTAAAGATATTTGAAAAGTAGTTTTAAATTAAGTTTATTGGAAAAGGGAAACAAGTATTCAAGATTATTTTAATATGTTAGTACAGGTAGGGGTGTGTGCTACACCCAAGTTAAAAAACTCGCGGTACTCTTTTTGCACGCTTCAAAACTTGTTGTACCATATTTGCAAGTTAAAAAACTCGCGGTACTCTTTTGCAAGCTACAAAACTTGCTGTACCATATTTGCAAGTTAAAAAACTCGCGGTACTCTTTTGCAAGCTACAAAACTTGCTGTACCATGTTTGCAAGTTAAAAAACTCGCAGTACTCTTTTTGCAAGCTACAAAACTTGCTGTACCATGTTTGCAAGTTCAAAAACTCGCTGTACTCTTTTTGAAAGCTATAAAACTTGCTGTACCATATTTGCAAGTTAAAAAACTGGCAGTACTCTTTTTGCAAGCTACAAAACTTGCTGTACCATATATATATATATATATATATATATATATATATATATATATATATATATATATATATATATATATATATATATATATATATATATATATATATATATATGTGTATATATATATATATATATATATATATATATATATATATATATATATATATATATATATATATATATATATATATGTATATAATGTATACTATATTTTAAATATGTTATACATACTTGACATTTACTTGACATTATCAAAATTAAAAACAAAGTAGCATACCAATAATATTTATATTCCATTTAAGAAAATAATATTTCTCCTGTTACAACATCAGCAGCAAGTTGTATTTTTTTCATCATATATTCAATAATTTCCATATCTGTCTCATCTTTTTTCCAGTAAGAAATAGTGTAAATTCTTTTTTGTAATCTCTTTTTCACCTTTTCGACTCTACCATCATAAATGACAGATTTTGAATTGTCATCATCATACTACTCATGACCAAGTTTTCTGCCAACAATTCTCTCTGACATAACATCATCTAAAACTTCAAGTTGTTTTGCAGATAAGTGTTTATATTTATGCATCATTTCACTGGTAGTTAAAATACAAAGCTCACGCTCTAACTTTCTTTTTTTGTTTTCCGTCCATTTTTTGGTGTTTACAACCCATTCTACCAGTAATCTCTGCTTTAATTTTATTATGTAGTAGTCGTGTTTTCATTCTTTTTTTACGGGCTATGCAAATAGACCATTTAACTACTTTTTCTCTAGACAACTCATCCAGATTATCAAGGTTATCGATCGTCCTATTCTTTTTGGATCTTAACTTGCTAGATATATAACAAATTGTTGCATTAGGGCATCAGCCTTTGGCATCACTAAACATACCCATTAATTCTTCGCTGTCTATATTATGAAGCCTTGCGCTTGCTGTCTCCTATTTGAGTGCTGCTGTAATAGAAAGGGAGAAATATCTTTTATATTGACGAGTAAACACTTCATCAACTGCATTAAGACAAGCTGAAGTCATTTTTAAAAGTTCGTCA